AGATTCGTTGAAATGATAGATTATCTGTCAATTTTGCTGACACAAAAATACAAGATTTTTAATGAAAATTTTGGACTTGCTAAGAGCAATTAAAAAATGTAAAAAAAATGGCCCCAAAATACTTTGATCTTACCTTTTAATAATGACATAAACATTTAGACAATAAAAATCATTTTCATCAAGTATAAGGCCCTTTTTATTCATGCTATGCTCTTTTTCTAGTGATCTCATAGTGGTACCTATGTTTGCCATTTTTGAAAAACTTTGTAAAGAAAAGTGAATTTGTCCATATAAAAATCTTGTAAAATTCATTTATACTTTTTTTAATAGTCATTTTAGGAAAATTAGGAAATATAAAGTATACTTAATGTCATTTGAAACAAATATTGCTTAATTTTTTAGCAGAAAAAACTTTGTTGGCAATAAGAGAAGGTGATTGGTTTTGTTTGGAGGTTTGAATTGACGTTTTCGTCAACATATCAACAACTAACATCAGGGCAATTTATCAGAATTTTTTTTTTTGAACACATACTACCACATTTGAAAATTTGGTTAAAAATTATCTTTTTTTTTTTCTTGCATCAATGGTATGTAAAACTTTTAACTACAAAAAAAAAATATTGTTTTGGAAATTCTTCCAAAAATTAAGTAATCATCAGATTTTAATTAAATTTTCAGCACTGGGACTTCACCTGTAACAACCAAGTTCGACCATCAATGCCTGCACCGGAACATCTGCATCTCTACCGTTCCGACCACCTTTATTTCTTTATTACCTTTCTAGAATAAATTAGCTTATATCTTATATATCCTCGTTCTGTCGTCTATGTTGTTTTACCTTGTCAGATTTAACGTCTTCGAAAATGTTGCGATACGGGGGCGCTCGAGGGGTCCGCTACAGACACATGCTTGTGTGCATTCTGGCAAGAGCATGGTGGATGTGCGACATGACTTTTTATTGTTGTTCTATTGCTCTCATTACATTTTGCTAGCGGTGACAAGACTTTCGCAACACCCTGTACATCAGTCACCACTCTTCTTCCTGATTGTGGATTGTTTTGAGTAGACCGTCAGTTTTTGGCGGTGCACCTCTTGCTTTGTCCGTGAATATTGATTTTTGTGGCACTGTCTCTTTCACCTGGCCAATTTTGGGCACCAGATTGTACCAAAAATTTGTTTCTATGAGTGATATCCCCCCTTTTTCTGCCATGACTTACAGTCCAATGATTTCTCTCTACTATTTCAACTCCACCTTGCCTACATGTAGCCATGCAATATTTTTAGATATTCCATTTTCCTAGCATGGTCTGAAAGAGTTCTGAATGAAATGCTATGCTATTATCCATTACAATCTCATTGATAGGTCTTCATTCAAAGAACATAATCTTGAATTCAACTGCATCCATTGCCAGTCATCCAGCTCCACACTCAACAACTGATAAGTAAATCCTCTCAGGAAAATGTGTTCAATCAATAGCTAACCATGAGCAGTTATCACCTGTTTTAAACTCACCTGCGTCATGCATAGTTACAGCAGAATCAATTGACTGATACCTCACATAGTTTCTCACCAATCTTTCAACCTCCTCCATCTTAACAAGTGAGTCAAGTTGTTTGCGCACTAAATATAATATCCTTTCAGTGTCAGTATGCTATATATATTGTACAATGCTGCACGTCCTATACAGCAAGTTGCAACTGTTTCTTGTTCCACTTCAACTGTTTTGTTTACCAGACAAATCATTTTTATTCACATCATCATATCCATCTTATTTTTTTCTGAAGACACAAACACAACTTCAGCCCAAACTCATTCACTAATTCTTTGAATATTTCTAATCTGCGTTTTACTATCATTTCTGCAGCAACTTGTATTGTCCTTATTCTTCTGTCTTTACTTCTAACAGAATTTACCCAACTTAAAACTGTGGCTGAATCTGTCCTGATTTCCACTACTTTGAACCCCCACTTTAGGGCCAAATTAATAACTTTTAGTACAGTATCTAATTCAGCCACATTGATATTGTCATAATTATTTTTTTCTCAAGTATGCTGCATCTTCAGCCACCACACTATCTCGATGAATACACCTAAAACTGCTGCTTGCATCACACCACACTATATCTGTTTTTGATTTAGGCACATTGTCCCTGATATTCAAACTTATTGTTCTTGTGTCAGCGTTTGTACTAACTTTTATCATAGGAAATTTTCGCCTTTTTGCAGTGACCGACACATTAATTTGGAAATTCTTGCAAAAATCAAATAACTGTCAGATTTTAATAAAATTTTCAGGAAATATTTACAAATTAATGATATTGTTTTTTCTTTTCATTTATTTTGCTATAAAATCTCGGTAAAAATATTTTTTACATGTGTTTCACCCCCTTACATAATTTTGTGAAAACTTGAGAAATTCATCGAGATAATTAATACCCTATTTCCGGCTTTGGTGCCACTTGATCTCCAAAAATAATTCGAGCCTGCCGGCGTAACCAACATTTTGAAAATAGCATTGATGTGTTAAAGGCATAATTTCTTAACGTTGATTCTTTCTGCTACTTGGGAAGCAACTCGTAGACCATATTCTTACTGGGCGTCTGCAATCATTCTAATCGTGTAACGGAGGTTGATGTCGGCTATGTAAATTGGCCGGCCAGAGTGTGAAACAACTCAATCGAAATCTTGAAAATAACTTCTGGAAACACTTCTGTATGCTGTAGTTAATAACACTTAATAATATTACTATTAATAATAATATTAACTAATAATATTAATAATATTAACTACGAACACGGTCACGGTGTTCGGAAAATAAAAAATCTCTATAACACTAAAAAAAATTATAAACAGAACGTACACACCCAATTAAATTGAAAAAAACATAAAATCATCCTTGATAATGGCCAAAAGTATAGCTGGAAGTGCTTGGAATTACAGGACATTTGGACAGTTTCTACACACTCTGTATCCAAAAAAGAAAACACTTGTTCGGACACAAGAGAAATTAAGTGAAAAGCTTAATCGTAGTACCTTGTCTGTAGTTTTTAATGAAACATATATAAATTCTTTTTAATATTACCCGTATTTTAAAGATCTGAATAGCTATTATAACATGATTTCGTTGTCAAGCTTTTGAATCTTCCTATTAACTTGGATTTTGATTGGTCATTTTAGCTTTTGTAACAATGTTTTCCTCTAGTGAAGGATCGTTAATTAATTTGAAACTTTTAAAACCATTTATTTTATCTTCAACATCATCACTTGATAAGACACCGAGGGTGTTGAAACAAAATGGCTATTTTTGTAGTGATTTTATAACATATTTATGTTATAATTTTATAAACAAAATATATAAAGAAAGGAAAGATAAGTACATTTTGATCGATTTGAATTTGTTTTGATTTATTCCTCATTGGATAATATATCTCAGCCCCTCACCATAGTAATTGAACATGTGTTTTCTTTATTGTTAATTATATATTTGTTGTAAATAAATGTTTTATTAATTTGAATGCCCTGGTATTGTGTTTTTTTTTTTTTTTTTTTTTTTTTTTTTACATCGTTGGTCTCATTGTGTTGTTTGGGGTCCGAGTGAACGCCGAGGAGGAAGACCCATTTTAACGAACTTCATTTCGGCTATAGGGCACCATTTCTTAACAGTCTACATTTTAAAATTGCAAAAAATTTTCATAAAACGCCTAATGACGTTACCGTTCAATGGGTCGTCCTGGGTATGACGATGAACTATATCTGGTAGCAAGGTCTCTGATCGAGAGCTTTTGAGGTGTGTGGAACTACTGTCGGAGTTAACTCCTCCTTTCACTCCGTTAACCCTTTCACCAGGGGTCTCTCTTTCCTGGCTATAAATAGCCGCGGACCCTTCGCCTCTATCTCTTTTTTCCTTTCAGGCCTGTGCACTGACACCTTGAGGCAATCTCTCTTATTCCTAGAGGATTTCAACTATCAACCTCGAAATGTAGTCGCTAACAAGGACTAGCGTGGAATCACGCTAAGCAATATACACACACGCACGCACACGCTGAATATTCACACACGCACGCACATACAGAATATTCACACACACTTCGTCCTTTGTACTGTTTCCATGTATTGTAACTTGTTAATAAGATATATTTGTATATACATATATTATCGGTCTTGTGTTTTGTTTACTTTCTTTACCTTCTTCTTTGGACTTAATCAAAGTCCAACCTTTTTATGTAGTTGGGCTCGGTGGGCAGGAGTATCTGAACCTTGCGTTTCTTCTACGTCTGACTTCTATCAACAACATGACAGCCACGCCATGAACCCTCAACAAACAGTAACCGCCACGGGCCCACTACACTACCTCTTAATAGCTGTTGTTCCCAGGTTTACTCTAACACAGGCTGCTAGCACAGCTTAGGGTCCAAACTATTGACATGTAGATAACATCCAAACTGGAACCAAAATACTATGAAAGTATAAAAATAGTAAAACTACTAGCAACACATTATTTGATTCTCGACATAAAGCCTCTGACGTCAATGAAACCTGATCTACAAACTGATTTCTTACAAAGAATACATATTCTATTCATACAAACCAATCCTAAAAAAATTGTTGTCATTCAACAATATGCTACATCCGCGTCCTGGGTATGGCGATAAACTACGTCCAACAGCAAGGCCTCAGATAATGTTTTCGGGAAAATAATGTTGCCAGCTATACGTTTTTTGAAACAATAGTGTTGCCAGCTATACGTTTTTTTGAAACAATGATGTTGCCAGCTATAAGTTTAATAGTACTGTATATATAACTTAATTTGGCATTAAATGACCTACAGTGGTTGATATGCCATAAAACCCAACCAACCATTGTTGTCATTCAATAACCCATTGAGGTGTTGATATGCCGTAAAACAATATAAACCATTTAATGGGTTAGCATTAAAGAGACATTCAGTTGAAGACGCTAAAAATAACTGAATTCAACAGAGCCATGGATTTTAAATATTTTCATAGCAAAGAAGGAAAACTGTTAATGTAATGAGCTGTGGTGTGTGAGTGAGTGAGTGAGTGAGTGAGAGAGAGAGAGAGAGAGAGAGAGAGAGAGAGAGCACTATGCAGTTCGGATAAAATTAAAATCAATTCGTCCATAAGGTGGTTTACCTGGCCCAGAATGAAAATGACAAGTTTAGTCAGTACTTCATTCTTGGTTGATGGCAGTGAGACTTTCTCTTATGTACTGTTCTATACAAAGCCACAGAGAGTTTACTGTCAGCCAAGGAGGAGCAATGCCACATATTTTATAGTTTTTTGCATTTTAAAAAATAAAGAACACAATTTTGAACTTTTCCATCTATCTCAGTTGAATATACAGTGTGTATCAAAAATAATTTTTACATACATTGGAGGCGGGCTCCTCACACCAAAACAAGAACAAAAGTCCATATAGACACATGTCAACAAATCCTTCATTTTTGAGTTAGTCAGTTTAAAGTTTATTATAGATGCTGTTAAATATACAATCCAAAAATATTTTTACAAACATTAGGAGCGGGTTCTTGGAACCAAAATAAGCAAATAAATGATAAACAGCAGCAAAGGTTGGATGACTCGGCTGTGTTCAGTTTGGAAACACAATCTGAAACAGCCGTGCAAACTCGTGTCTATTACTATTCATGAAGCTGTATGTGAAAGCACATTCGCCTTCTCACGATATGAATATCCTGCCATTTTTAAATGGGACACTTCGCAGTAAACTCACTACTAAACACTTTAAAGAGAGACTAGTCACAAAATGTAATGTAGTTTACATAGCAATACAGTGCCACATACGGTAAACTTCGTTTAAACTTAGTAACTTAAACTAAAAGGATTTGCAGACATATGTTTATATTGACTTTTGTTCTTGATTGGTGAGGAACCCACCCCCAAAGTGTGTAAAAGTATTGTTGATTCACCCTGTATAACTGATTTTCCAATTGTCTTTATTAGAAATCCATAAAGAAAATCAATTTTTTATCTTTTAGAAGAATGCATTTTTCAGATGCCTCTGCCATAAAAAGAAAGTGTGTGTGTGTGTGTGTGTGTGTATATATATATATATATATATATATATATTTTTTGCATAATAAGGAAGGAAGATTATATATAAAAATAAAATTTTTCCAAGAATGCATTCTATAATATACATTACCAACTTGACTTTAATTTTCAAGTGTAAAAACAGTATAATATTATAAGCAATCATTACAGAGGGGAAAATTACCAAATTTATTAATTTATCTGCTTACGTAAGTGCTTTAAAGTGTTTTCAAACCTCTTAATATCATCTTTAAGATGCTATTGCAATATGGGACCAGGTGAAAGCCATATTCAAAATACTATACAAAAGCTGAAAAAAAAAAAAAGTGTATATATATTTTATATATATATATATATATATAGTTGGATTGATGTGAGTTTGTGCCCCTGGGTTTCATGCTATTTTCGATCGTCAGACAAACTGATTCATTCTTAAATTTTGGATTTATATATGGTTGCATATATCAGTGTTTTTATGGAAGTGAGAGGAAAAATTGTCATAGGAACACCATTCATACTTACGCAAACATACATACATACACGCACATATAAAGAAACACACAAACGCACGCACGCTCACACAAACATAAACATATGTGAACAGTGTCGCACTGGGCATATATGCACATCCCTGTGTCATTGTGTACATACGTACGCATTGGGTCACTGTATTCAATGTTGGATTGCGTAGCGAATATTTTTTGTTTGTTGCACTGTCAATGCGCAGACCGTTTTTCTATTTTCACTGAATAATGTTTTCTCGCATGCACATATATACATATGATGGAGTCTGTGTAAGACTATGATAGGTAAAAATTGGTATTATTTTTAATTTTTTAAGGCTGTTTTATTATTATTTTAAAATCGGTTATTTGATTGTTTTTGGCGATTGCACATATGTAAATGGTAGAAACTCCAATTTGTAATACTTATTAGTATGTATGCGGTGATATTAATTTTGCTGGGAGAGGGAGATGTAAGTATAATTGTGAACTGATATGGTAATACTAATTGTGTCGTAGTTATTGTGGACAAATACAGCAATGGTAATTGTGATGTGGTAGTAATGGTGGCGGGGAGTGGGTGATGATAATAAGAATTGTAGCAGCAAATAGTTATTGTAAAGTGGTAGAAGTGATCATAGTAATAGTGGTGGAATGATAATAACAATAGTTATAATTATTATGATGGTAGTTTGAACTAGAAAATAATTGGTGTTATGGTGTCAGTGGTTTCTCTTTTCATGTTTATAGGTAGTTTATGTAGTAGTGTTGGTTGGTATTTTTTTTTATCCGTTTGGTATAAATTCTGATAATAGGTATTTGTTTTCATGTCTGCATTTGGAAATTATTTCTGATGTTATGTTTAGTAAATTTTCTTGGGGATGAGAAATTATTGCTACCTTTTTGTGTAGGCAAAGTAGGCATTTCTTAGTAATATTGTTGTAGGCAGGTACTTTTTTCAATATTCTCCAGCTTATTCTTAGTGTAATATTTCAGTCTTTTAGATGCCATATGTATGAGGATAGTGTAATGCTGTTTGAGTATTTTCTATTGGAGAATGAAAGGTTGCAGTTGTTTTTTCTTTTCTTGAATGGTCCCTCAGTGGGACCGATATAGTACATTGTGCTGTTGTTTGCACTTACCTTGGCTTTATATATTATATTCCTTTGTTGGCAATTTCCTTGGAGCGGACATGTTTTATTTCTACAGTTGCATTGAGGTTCTTTGGTTGCATTATTGCAGGTTGTTACTTTTTTGTTGTGGCTTTTTATTATTTGTGTAGCTGTAACTGATTTTAACGTTATTTTTTTTGAATATTTTTGCTAATCAGTTTGTTTCAGGGAAATGTTTTTCTATTAAGTTTAGGGATGTCCTTCCTATGTTTGTTTAGACAGTTTTGTTGTATGGTGGCATAAACCGGATGATGTTTCTTTTTCTGTTTTTGTGTTTTGTTTGTGGCGGTGTGTATTGTAGTTGTGTGTATCCACTTTCTTTTAGCGTCTATGATGAGTTTTCAGACAGTCTGCGGCTGATATGGGTATTTGTTTTAAGATTGAAGGTGGATGGTTGGAGGATGTGTGTACGTAAGTTGGGGTGTCATTATCTTTTCTGTATGGTTTGTATGTATTATAGTTCAGGTTGAGAACAACTATCAAGTTCATCCCCTGCTAATTCTGGGGGTGGCTTCAAACCATTGAACTATAGTAGTTTACTTTCATAATGAGTTTATAAAACTTAAAAAATACAAATGCCTTAAATATATGTTGGAAGATAGATTTCTTTGGGATGTTCTGCAAAGTTTTATCATCTTTTTTATTTGTAACATACATTTTGCAACAATCGTACAACTGTACAGAAAATATTTAAATACAGTTCAGTTTTGACCTGATGATAGTTGTCAGTAATTACAACACCCATGAAATGGGCACTAACTGATAAAGGGCAGGTTTCCTGTTTAAACTGGAAAAGAGATATTCAAACTGTCCACAAGTGGAAATAAGAGAGCCAGATACACAAATGAACTTGGGATCAAGTGTCACTTGTTCAGAAAGTAGAAATTTCATGTAGCAGGCTTATGTTATAATGAGTAGTTTAGGCTCGCATATAGGGATGTTGAAATCAATTGTCGGGTGGTAGAGAGGAAAAGATCTGGTCCAATTGTCTATCATATCTATCCTACTCACTGTTCACAAGGGAGCGAGATAAATATTATTGGGATAAAGTGTCACTTGCCCAGAAAGTAGAAATGTCAGCTAACCGGCTTATATAAGTTGTGATAAGTAGTTTAGACCCGCACGTAAGTATGTTGAGATTGAGGGGTGGTAGAAGAGAGTCTGAGTATTTACTGGCAAGAGGAAAGATCTGGTCTATCTGTCTATGTTGTGAATTCGGTCTCCAAGGAATGACAAACGCAATAATTAAATATAAGAAATAAAATGTATTTACACAATCATACAAAGAGTAATACTGTTAGTAAGACCAGGAACGCGGTTAGTAGCAAATATAGATGGATATATACAGTCTCGAAGTAGGACTTCCTTAGAGTCTACGTGCTTGTAACTGACTTCTACAAGAGGTTACCTCACACTATCTCCGTTCGTATATTCTCTGACTCTCCCTATGCGACTACTCTCACTGACTGTAACTCTGGGTATTTAACGGCAGCAGTCCAGGTACACTGGTAGAGTCCACTTATATGAAAAGGGGAGGACCCATAACAGTCTATTACTTAGCAAGAAAGATATTTTAAGTGTCAATTTGCTACCCACCAACTCAAGACACAAAGTGCATCTGTAAATATGTAACAAATATAATGTATGCATCCATGAACAACTAATATACTGGAAATGGAATTTACATTTTCATTTTTCAGTGTTATTTCAACTTCCGTTCTCTTGGCTACGAACACCGAAAGAGTGAGAAAGGCTCTAATATGTGGTTACACTATTTATACATATAGGATTTAATGTTTGTTTGTTTGGGTTCTATGGCATATCAACCACTGTGGGTTATTTAATGCCAAATCCATTTTATATATATATATATATATATATATATATATATATATATATATCAAATATATGAATTTTAAATGCCTATTTTGTATGGAACATTTTTAGCAAATTAGAGCTTATTTGCTTGCACACTGCAAAATAATCCTAGGTATTTTTGTTTAAGTCAAGAATTTCCATTTGATAAGGACAATTTATTTGCAAAATGGTAAAAGGTAGGATATGTTGTTTATACATTAGTCTACATCTTTGATAAGAGACCAATTCTTTTTAGAAAATCCAATATATTTTTTGGTTCAGTTTTTGCAAATAATTTTGTCATGTTCTTTGTGTTATAGAAATTTCTACAGATGTGTGTGAGATTTGTACATTCTATTAGTATATGTTTTACAGTGTATTGTTTTCCACAGGAACATTTAGGAGTAGGTTCTTGTTTTAGTATGAAAGAGTGAGTCAGTCTTGTGTGTCCAATGCGTAGTCAGGCAATGGTGGTTTGTTCTTTTCTTGTTTTAAGATTTAGTTGCCTTTCCTTTAGAATTGGTGCTATTTGGTAGAGTTTATTGTTGGTATTTTTGTTCCATAGTTGTTGCCATTTTAGTGTTATTGTTGTCTTCATTTTATGTTTTAGGTCAGTGTATGGGATTTTGATGTTTTGGTCGGGTGTCATGTTAAGAGCAGCTTTGGCTAAGGAATCGGCTTTCTCATTTCCCTGGATTCCAATATGGCTTGGGATCCAGCATATAGGATTTGATATAGAATATTTGTTCACAAAAGATTTAATTCAAATTGATCACAAATGAAGGTTATTAAAATCAAAAACAACTTTTTGAGGATTCATAAAAAAAATCTTTGCATTAAACATATCACACAAAGTTTAAATTTCATGGAAAAGAAGAAAAACATGCTGTTAAAACAGGATCTTGCACAATCAACAGACTGACAGCACTTCACCAACCAACAAAAAAATGTTCATTGAAGAGAATTTAAAAAAAAAAAGGAAGCACTGCATAATGGTTAAATTACTTTGGCAGGAAAGGAAATAAGCTACAAGTACTGCTTAAAACACATTCCTGAAGCTGAGGGGGACGAGGAGATAATTTGTAAGCTAATGATGGCGAGTTCAATCTTAGGTAAGAGTCAGCATAGTTAACACACACACTTTAAAGAATAACATTTATTTACAGCAGGTTTTTTTCTCTTACTACAAATGTGTGGAAAGTAAGTCACATATACTTAATTCAGAGTCTGTGGAATTTAAGTCACAAATACTTAATTATTTAGTTTCACTTCAGAGTCTGTTCACATATAAATCAGCAAATTTGACTTAAAAAAAAAACAAACAAACTGACAGACAAAATATATTGCTTCTCTCAATGAAGCATTTGCTGGACTAAATTTAATTTCTATGAAAAAGAAGAGCTACAAATTTCAAAAGAGTATGGTTTATGAAAATTAAAGAAATTAAATGTTTCTTGAAAGATCATGTCAATAAAAAGGAAAAAGTCATGTGTGACAAGAATGAAGATTCTATTCCATGTGGTTATACTAGGAAATGTGATGTCTGAACAAAGGAAGAGCCCCGTCCATGACAAGAATATGGTTTCTCACCAGTATGTTTATGGACAAGGTTGATTTCTGTGCAATGAAGACACACAATTCAAATAATATTTCTTGCCAATGTATGTTCACTTATGCACGAGGGAGCCTGATTTCTGTGCAAAAGCAAACCCACACAATTCACAGTATGGTTTCTCACATGTGGGTGCTTGATTTCTGTGAAGAAATAACACATGCTTCACAAGAATATCAATTATTGCCAGTCCGTTTTTGGTTATGCATGACAGATATCTGTGCAAAAGACTGAAAGCCTTCATATGAATATAGTTACTTGGTGAAGTGTGTTCGATAACTATTGAATATGATTGATTGCAATTCACAGGAAAATTGTTTCTTGCCAGTGTATCTTTTTATGAGTAAGGCTGATTTCTGTGCAAAGTAGGACCAACACATTTCACTAGAATATGGTTTCTCACCAGTAAGTATCCACTTATGTCCAAGTACGCCTGATTTCAGTGCAAAAGAAAACCCACGTATTTTGCAACAATATGGTTTCTCACCAGTGTCTGTGCAAATAAGATCCTCAACGTCAAAAGGAAATGGCTTTGTGCTAGTGTGTGTTCGATTATGCATGATTAATCTGCATTTCTGTGCAAAAGAAGACCGACACATTTCACAGGAATGAATATGGTTTCTTATCAGTGTTTTCGCTTATGCAAGAGTAAGCTCGATCTCTGTGCAAAAGAAGACCCACATGTTTCACAAGAATATGGTTTCTCACCAGTGTGTATCCGCTTATGCACATGTAAGCTTGATTTCAGTGCAAAAGACAACCCACATGTTTCACAAGTATATGGTTTCTCTCCTGTGTGTTTTCGATTATGGATTATCAATCTAGATTTATTTACAAAGGAAGATCCGCAGACATCACAAGAAAATGTTTTATTAACAGTGTGTTTCTGCATATGTAAAAGTAAACTTGTCTTATGGGTAAAAGAGGATGAACATATGTCACAAGAAAATGGCTTCTCACCAGTGTGTGTTCGATAATGCACAATTAAGTTTGCTTTTTGGGAAAAAGACGACCCACATGTTTCACAAGAATATGGTTTCTCACCAGTATGTCTCCGCTTATGCATAAGTAAATATGCTTTCTGTGCAAAAGAAGAGCCACAAACTTCACAAGTAAATGGCTTCTCACTAGAGTGTGTTCGTTCATGAACAAGTAAGCTTGATTTATATGCAAAAGATGATGCACAAATTTTACAAGAATATGGTTTCTCACCAGTGTGTGTACGCTTATGCGCAAATAAACCAGATTTCTGTGCAAATGTAGACCCACAGGCTTCACAAGAAAATGGTTTCTCTCCGCTGTGGCTTTGTATATGACTTAGCAAACTTGATTTCTGTCTAAAAGAAGACGCACACATTTCACAAGAATATGGTTTCTCACCAGTGTGTATCTGCTTATGTGAAAGTAAACTTGATTTCTGGCTAAAAGTAGTTACACATATTTTACAAGAAAATGGCTTTTCACCAGTGTGTTTGCGTTTATGCACGATTAACCTTGATTTGTAGGCAAAAGATGATGCACACATTTCACAAGAATATGGCTTCTCACCAGTGTGTATCCGCTTATGCACGAGTAAGCTTGATTTCTGTGAAAAGGAAGACCCACAAGTTTCACAAAAATATGGTTTCTCACCAGTGTGTGTCCGCTTATGCCCAATTAAACTTGATTTCTGTGCAAAGGAATACCCACATATTTCACAAGAAAATGGTTTCTCACCAGTATGTTTCCGCTTATGCACAAGTAAGCTTGATTTCTGTGCAAAAGAAGAGCCACATGTTTCACAAGAAAATGGCTTCTTTCCAGTATGAGTTTGTATATGAGTGACCAAGCTTGATTTCTGTTTAAAAGAAGAGGTACACATTTCACAAGAATATGGTTTGTCAACAGTGTGTCTTTGCTTATGTGCGAGTAAGTCTGACTTCACTGAAAAGGACGATGCACATATTTTACAAGAATATTGTTTTTTAACAGTGTGTTTCTGCTTATGGAAAAGTAAACTTGATTTCTGGGTAAAAGATGATGCACATATATCACAAGAAAATGGCTTCTCACCAGTGTGGGTTCGATAATGCACAATTAAGTTTGATTTTTGAGCAAAAGAAAACCCACATATTTCACAAGAATATGGTTTCTCACCAGTGTGTTTCCGTTTATGCAAAACTAAAGATGATTTCTGTGCAAAAGAATATCCACAAACATCACAAGAAAATGGCTTCTCGCCAGTGTGTTTTCGATTATGAATGATTAATCTTGATTTGTAGGCAAAAGACGATGCACATATTTCACAAGAATATGGTTTCTCACCAGTGTGTTTCTGCTTATGCAAAAGTAAATATGATTTCTGTGCAAATGAAGATCCACAAACCTCACAAGTTAATGGCTTCTTGCCAGTGTTTGCTTGCATTATTGAGCAAGTCTGACTTCTTTCTAAATAAAGATGAACACACTACACAAGAAAATATTTTCTCACAAGTCTTTGTTCACTTATGCATGAGTAATTCTGATTTCTATGAAAAGGAAGAGCCACACACTTCACCAGAAAATGTCTTTTCACCAGTGTGTGTCCACTTATGCATTAGTAAGCGTGTTTTCTGCACAAAGGCCACAAGTCACACAAAGAAATGACTTCTTGCCTGGGTCTGCTTGCATATTATTAAGTGAGCATGATTTCTATGTAAAAGAAGATACACGCACTACAGAAGAATATGGTCCCTTGTCAGTCTGTGTATCAGTATTCACTTATGCATCAGTAAACCTGATTTCTGTGCAAAGGAAGAGCCAGACCACTCAGAAAAAAAAACCTTTTCATCAATGAGTGTCCATTTATGCTTATATAAAAGTTATTTCTGTACAAGAGAAAATCCAAATGTGTGCACGAGCAAATTTTCTTTCTTTGAAAAGGAAGTGCCATATTCTTCACAAAAATATGGCTTTTCTCAAAGTAAGTGTTAGTAAATGTTGTACTAAATATTGCTTTCGTGAAAAGTTTGTCCCACCAACATTATAAAAACATGGTTTCTCTCCAGTATGTGTTTGTACTTGGTGCATCAAAGTGTCTTTTAAAAATAGTATTATCAAACAATTTACATTGACGTTTCAAAAGAAGATTCATTTTTGGTCTAGTTTTCCACACTTCCTTTATTCCACCTCACCAAATCATGATCCACCATTTTTATGCAGAGACATCTGTGAAAAATAAACAACAAAAATTCTGTTAAAGAGATTATATATAAATCCAAGAAATATATTTGACTACATGTGAATGCAAGCATTATTTGACACAAACATCTTACATAAAAATTATTGACTCACATTATACAGATATGAATTTAATAAAATGTTTGATATTTATTATTTCATCACTGAATATTTTTAAGGAAAGATTAATTTTAAACTTACTGGACATATTTTGCAGTAAATGCTCTTTGATTATCTCCTGGAATTAAAATTGCTGCTACTTAATTTCAGAGTCTGAAAAGAGTGATTGCCAAATTGATGAAAGATTATCTATGAAATCACTGTCTGATCTGGGGATTAAGGTTCAACTGACATGACCTTTCCCATGAAGAACATACTGTTACTCACCAAAAAAGGAGTGTGATTGGTTGGCAAGAAAAAGGGATTGCCAAATCAATGAAAGATTATGTAATAAAATCTGTGTCTGGTTTGGGGATTAAGGTTCAACAGACATGACCTTTCCCATGAAGAACATCATGCTGCACAAACCAAAAGAGTGTTGCCCTAAATATTATTGGCTGTTATAACCTCTGGTGGATATCAGTCTTTGTACAGTGAACTCTGAAATAAACCATTTATTCAATCTACAGGTAGGGGAAACTGTTCTCATTGCACTGCCTATGTCTAGCAATATCGTCTAGTTCTTATTTTAAAAAAATGCTCAGTTATTTACATTACTGGGACTGTTGTCCTCATCTTTATTGCCATTTTGATTATGCAACCAATGCTTTTATCCACTGGGCCATGTGTCCTTGGGACCAAAGACCCCATAGACATATTAACAGATACTGAAGAATGCTGGAGTGTAAAATGGCTGAAATGTCATGAATACAGCAATAAATATGAGGAGAAGAGTCCGAAAGATGTAAATAGTGTAAATATTTACAATACCTTATCTCAGAAATAGACAGGTGCTCAGATATTGCTTGCCAACTCCAAGTACACACTGGCATGTGACAAAGGCAATGCTTCAGTGATTCAGTGATGATGGAGTACACTGAAAATTTGTCAAGCCTATTTGGGGATGGCTGTCATAGGAAAGAGCAAGAGGATCTGACCCTAAAAGCTGAGAGGAATCTGTCACAGATCCTAAATAAGAATAAGGTCTACTTCATGTTGAATAAGTATAGACAGCCGACTCAAAGTTACACCAAGTTGCTGTACATGTATGTTCTACTCAAGGTTCACAAAGATGATATTCCACTGAGACCTATGTTCAGCTACAGAAGTTGAGCAAGCCACATGCTGAGCAGATTCCTGGTGGGTATAGTCAACCTACTAACATTGAAGTCCTTGTCCTATGTAGTTAGAAAAAGATTAATCCAATTTAGATGAGTGGAATACCATCTTTAGTATTGAGAATTTACAAAGGTAGCTGGACATACTAACATTCTTTCACTTGTAAATACTTTTAAGTATGTATTACCAAATAACAGTGGTTTAATAAATTTAAAGTGTACATTAATTTAATGTATATATTTATAAAATATTTGCTCAATAAATTTCAAATGAAATCATTTCAAACCAATACAGTCCAGATACAATTGTACACTTGGAAGAACTGTGAAATGCAGGTTAGTCAGAGATGTACTAAGCTTTGGTAGTTATGATGTGGTTAAAAATATTTCTGATGTGATGATTATGGTCGCAAAATTGTTCACAGAAGATCTTCCATATGTTTTAATGTCTTGGCTTGGATTTTTTATCAAGTTGAATTGTTTAACGGGACAACAGTGAACTAAACAAATGCTCTAGTTAGTTATTTTAAATGACTGACAATTGTGATTGTAGTCTAAAAGCATTAAACTTTTCTGCGAGTTTCAGTACCTAATTGCGGATATTACTTGTATACAAGGAACCCACTTCATGGCAAGAGACTAGAAAAATATTGTCACCTCTTCTCCGCATATTGTGATAGTCATCTGAGATACATCTTGTGAATGATATAGCATGCTTTAGATTCGACTGGCTTCATCAAGAATAAGGGTTTTATTTTCTGCAGGTTTATATATCCAATTACAGCAGAAAGCTGTAGGCATTTTTTAGCATAGAAAATCCCTGGAATGCCACCCGTAATATTGAGAATTTAAGGGGACAATAGGACACACTAGCATTGTTTCAGTTGTAAATGCACTCATGAATATATTGCAAAATATCAAAGGTATAATAAATTTATCAGTGAATATCAGCTCAATGAATCTGTTTGAAATTTATTGAACAAATATTTTACAAATTAAATCAAATCAACCCAATGAAGTCCAGATATCATGCAAATGTACACTTGATAGGAATGTCAAATATAAGTTAAATAGTCAGACATGGTATGCTTCCTTACTAAGATGTACTAGACATTAGTAGAAGATAAAAAAAGTATGTTTTCTTTTTGGAGAAATTATGGTTGCTAAATTCTGTGCAGAAGAACATCTTATATACATTCAAATATCTTGGTTTTGATTTTCTGCCAAGTTCTTACAAATCTCTCTGGCTTTGCTGTATTTTCTAATAGAACCCTCAAGAGACATTCTATCAATAACTAAATTCTCCAAGACAACATACATATGGTGCACAAAAGTTTACACCAATCAAGATGTGAAATAGTTTTGACATGTTCGACAATTCTCATTTGGAGGCTGTTTTGTCTATGGTAGGATTCAAGTGACATTTGTGATCTGTGGATTTGTGGTAGAAGTGAATGGTTTATGTTCAAAGATTTCATTTTAGTCAGATACAAACATCAGTGTTCATTGTTTTAGAAGCATTCATATGAACGATGTGGTCAAACCTAGTCTTGCATAGAATTATGTTATCTGAGGCCAACAACTTTGCCATATACCATGCCAACCATATCTACACACTAATATTGACCAATATAACCTGCATATGGCACAACAACATCTCTACACTTGTTTGTTTAATGGCACATCAACTCCAAGTGGGTCATCCAATGCCAAAGCAAGTTGGGTTGGTATTTTATATTTGTGTATTATTATTTTGTAGTGAAATCAAGTTAAGTTTTCTTTTAACATTATAGTCATGTAAAAATTAGTGTTTAGTTTTTGTATTTATAAAATGTACTCATGTTAAGTTTTTTTTTTTATTTCAGATTTTGGTAAATAGATGAGTTTCTTTTAAGAATTTAAAAATGTTATCTGGATTGATTCTGATAAAGAATTCTTTCAGGTTACTTGTTTGGTGATATTTGATTTGGGGTAGTTTAAGATTCTTACACGTTGTCAGAATATGGCTTATTGCGTACTTTTCCTGGCATGTCAGGCACATTGTAGTTTCCTCTCCCTTTAGTTAGTATGTGTGAATGATAGGTGTGTGTCCCATACAGAACCTGGTCAGTATCACCTCTTTTTTGGAGTGTGTAGCTCTACCACTTTCCTTTGTTTGGTTTTATTTTATGCAATTTGTTGGTTGGTCAAGAGTCCCAAATCAGTTGCCACCCTTTTTCCATAAATTCGTTCATGAATTATGCTTTTCTGCCGGTACATTTCCATGTGATTATTACACTACATATGGTCCTGTACAATATTACTTTACTTGGTGCTATGTGTTGGTTCCAATCTGTAATGGCCGCTAAGAACATACCCCCTCCCCCAAATGTATAGACAAACTCTAAAAATGCATGATGGGATTTCTTCCAAAGCAATAAAAATGAACATTTTGTTCTTTCTTGCCTTGAAGTTAGAATGCTATAACCACTTGACTGTATCCCTTTTTCAAATGAAAACAATTCTTACTTTTTGAACATTTTTGCCTTATTACTTTGCTCTGCTGGATTTGGAATTGCATTATATATAATTTGCATAATATTATTTTGCTCTGTTCTTTTCTTTCATGTTCTTATATTTGTTGAAAATGGTGTCAATTCTGCTTGTTAATTGCACTTAATCATGCCTAATTATTGCATATGAACACTTTAGTCAAGTACCTTAACTATGTTGACGATGTCTCTCTGCTTGTAACACACAATACAGAAAATAATGACATGACAAGAGAAAACCAGTTGTAGATTGTCACATGCAGATATAGGATAAGTCTACGACCTGGCAGTGAGGCTCAGGGAGTAATTATTATCTCTCTGGTCTCTTTAATTGGGTTGAAATATAATACAAGATACACTACATCTAATTTGTACCTTACTAATAATATTACTTGCTTTTCGTTTGAAATAAAACAAGAAAGCATTTCTTTACATTGTTTGGACTCCTCATCTTTATTGTGATATTCACAACATTTCGGACATTGTATTTTTTTCTTGTTACTTCAGTTTCCCATTCAATTTTCAGTTTTTAATTTTCTCTTTCTAAGGAAGCCCTTCGTTCTCGTGTGACAATGATTATTTATTACTCAACGTTTACTTGAATTATGCTACTATTTCAATAATGATGGGGTCAACTTTGTGACTCAATCTTTCTCTATGCTGCTATGAATTATATAAGTTTTAAAAGTTGATTGTTGAAACCAAATTTATATGATCTATATGTAACAGTTAACTCTTTAAAACAGTGACCAAAGATTCATGAAAGATTTCTGAAGAATAAAACTGAATTTCCATTCTGTCTAATTCTTTAACCCACCAGAAACTAAAATCTAACTCAGACGTGCAAGAAATTAACAACTGTAAAATTAATTTGGACAAACAAAATTAAGCAAACACATAGCATAAGAGGAAAAGAAATAATGTGAAAATTATTCAACAGATAAAAAATTAATTTTGCAAAGAGAGAATGTTTCTCCTCATTATCTTAGGTCATGATTGAGAAAAATCAGTTTTTCAGGGTGAATAGGTTTTGGCCTACATCTCTGGTCACTGATGACAAGTCCAGCCTTGCTAAAAAAATGATTGGTAAAAAAGTAGGGATTATTCACCTAAAGTAATATTTTAGGCTTTAAACATATTTTAGTCATGGAATTCATGACTTGGATTAAAGTTTAATCATTAAACTTTCAAATAAATTGTCAAGTGTAAATAAATATATTTAATAACAACTAGCAGTAGAACTCATTGTTGCCCGGGGATGTAACAGTAAGAGATAGATCAAGTATCGACCATCATAAAGACTGAAAAATATAATTGACAAAGATTATTGTTTAAGGTTGATGGATACAAATGTCTTAATTAGTTTTTTGTTTTTTTGTTTTATTTTACGAATTGGTCAAACCCAAACTCAAACAAAAACATTGTTTTCATTCAATCATTATGAGTCTACCGATTGAATAGAATTTTATTATAAACAATTGTCTTGTAAATGGAATTTTTAAATCATTCTGAATGTAAAAATAAAGAAAAAAGTGTGCAAGACAATAAGAAACACTACCTGCCAAAAAAAAAGTGAAGTTTTGTTGAAATCGGTTGAAAAATGTAGGAAATTCGATCCCATATATAAACGAACAGACACACACTCACAAACAACCTGGGTTTTATAAGTATAACTCGATATGAGTTGTCCCCCTTTCATTCTGGTGACAGAATCGTATTTTCAAATTGATTTCATGCAAAAACAATTGTGTTTTTCCAATTTTTGGCACTGTCAGAAATACCGTAAGGTAATTTTACATAGTCCTGTGAAGTTTTGTTGAAATCGGTTGAAAAATGTAGGAAATCCGATCCAATATATAAACGTACAGACACACACACAATCTGCGTTTTATAATAAGGAAGATTTAGTAAAATATGAGAGAAACTGACACATGTTTCATTGTGGACTGCCAAAACATGTTAAACACTGTGAGTATCATTAAGAATGGACAGGATGAATCTATGCCAATTACTGGCTAGGATCCATGTGGTTATGAAAGATGAAATTACACCTGAAGAACCAGTCATGGCAGCCATTCTTCCAAATGAAACAGACATTTCCATTTTTAGGAATTGTTCATTAATGAATATTTTACTGAATATGCTATTTTACTAAAAAGCTTTGGGGAAATATTTAGTCTTTATATTTCAAACCACCTTTCTGATATTGCCTGTATACTTTTAAGAGGGAAGCAGTCTAAAGTATAAAGAAATCCATGAAGATATTATTTCAGTAAAACAAATTATGCAACAGTTCCTTATATGTCCTTTAATATATCTTATAAATAAAATGTTTCTTATGACAACAATGTCCTTAATATATCTTATTCATAAAAGCAGCTAAAAGCTTTTCTAAATAATGTCTCAGTTTTATTGCATTTTTTGTTTTACAATTCTTGGTAGATTTTCGGTAAATGTGTTTCTATTTGATGATTTAAATTCACCAAGGAGTACTGCTTTTAACAAATAATAAGAGGATGGAATTTTAATTTCTTGATATTTCATAAAATTAAGTAAGGTGGATAACAGATGTAAAAACCAAAATATTTTTTATTAAGATTTTCTAAAAATAATTTCAAGAATTAAGTAGACCACGTGACCATACAGGAACCGCAACAGGTGACAACTAATGACTGTCATTTCCTAGTCTAACCTCTATTACTATTCAGATCACCATTTCTATTTTATGCTATACTATTTTGATCGCTATTCTCTTCTCTACACTATTCTCTATAATGAATACAATTTGGAGTAATATTCGAGCGAGTATTATCGGGCAAGTACTATTAGTGCGAGTGTTATTCAAAAGTGTCTGACACCAGCCTTATTCCACGGTGTTACTATAAGTTGTATCTGCAATTACAAAGTCTCTACTACAACGAGAATTACGAAAGTGACAATGAATATTCGTTGGCATCACAAAATTCAGGGTTTTTTTTACAAAAATATTCTTCATGAGAATGTGAAGGTTACACAACTCACAGATTCAATCAATGAGGTCTCATTAGCGATTGATTAATCCAACAGGAGAGTATTCTGTTTCCGGATGTTCAGTAATGTAATCCGGGATTTGTTTTAAACTTACACCCAGGCCGCGAAACCCATTCTTGATATATTCAAAATAGCTGAATACTTTCCGGACAGATCCTTTTTTGGTGCAAAATTACATCATTAGGCCGATAACTGCTTCTTAACCCTTTGTCTGTCCTGCGCAGCATATGTAAAGCATAGGACATGTGATTTCTACGTCCATGCACCATATGTGGTACACACGAGCCATGATCTTAAGAGTGATAAAACTAAGGGAAAAGAGTCTACTATTGAGCAGGACGAGGAAAGGCCTAATCTAACGGAACACCCTTTATAAGATCTCAAATGAGAGACATTTATTTTCCATTTTATTGAAATCATTATAACCTTTGCATCGCATGTGATGATAGTGATGATAGTGTAAATAGCTTATGATTTGCACATTCTGTGCATCACATGTGATGCACAGGCTTTTATTATGTGAAACACTATATATCGACACATTATCTGAAAACAAGCATGGACATTTGGACAGGACACACGACAATGCCCCGGACAGTCATAGAATTAAGGAAGTGTGAACATAATTTTACTCACAACGAAGTGTTGTCGACTTTTGTTATCTTGAAGGTCATATCTGCTGTACCTCCAATTGGCACATGGTCACTTCCAGTGATGAAAAGTAAAAGTTTCTTTTGGAATTCAACAGGAAATTTCAGAACGACATCCCAAAAATATCTAAAACAAAAATAAACAACAGATATCAAATTAAATTTTTAGCTATCTCTTTTCAGACAGATAACGTGTTTTTTAGCAGAGGATATCATTTTTTAAAATTATTTCACACCAAGCAAGGCAATAAAGCCACTAACACGCAAGAGGCTACTGAGTATGAAAAAATATGAGAAAAACATAGTATTAAGGAGAGAAGACAATAAAAGAACAAGAATTAAAAAGGTAGAAGATAACGATTGACATTTCATTTAATTACTTTAGTTGTTGGATTTTAATTTTCAGGATTTATTTATAAATGAATGAAATTATTTTTAGAAAATCTTCTACTGGTCTACTTAATTTTTCCTAATTCATCTTTGCATGAATTTCCCAAACAATGAGTTTTTGAGTGTTAAAAATTTCCCGGAGCATAGTTACCTCGATGAGATTGCTAAAAAACAAGCATAGCATGATGAAAAAGACGCCAAACTTGACGAAAACAAAATTTTATCATCTAAATTTTTATGTCATTATTAAGAGGAAAGAACAAAGTACTTTTTAATTATTTAAAAAAATTTTTCCTTCATTTTAGAACATTCTAATTTTGATTAAAAAAAAAACAAACTTGTTTCTCTTTGTATCAGCAGAACTACTAAATAACATAAGATTTTAGCGCATTTTTTTTGTATGACAGACATTAATTCAGAATATTTGCAAAAGGGAAAATAATTGTTGGATTTTGATGAAACTTTCAGAAACTATTCACAAATGATGGAAATTATTATAAATCTGTTTTACCTTTTTAAAGTCATGGCAAAAATTTATTTTTTCATATTTATTACCCCTCCATAAGTAATTTTATGAAAACTCTGGAAATTCATTACCGTACAATTTAGTGATTATATTAGTTAAAAGCACAAGGCTTTGAGGAGAACAAATTAAGTATTTTGTTTTTAATTGGACCCCCACCCACCTGAAAATCAGCTCTGAACTGTAACATACAAAACTCAATAAAACAAAGATATTATTTAATTTCAAAAGCTTTTAGTTATTTTTATGAATATGGATAATATTGTCTTGAAGCAAAAAACTTTTTTCTTTTTTTTAAAACAATTATTTGTTATTTCTTAAATTATTTTTATTATTCTTAGATTAAAGTTGTTAAATATTCTAAAATTAGTAAAAATAGTGTACAGTTTAGTTAATGGTATTATTAAGTAGATCTATCTGTATAGATTATAAATTGTAAAGCTTATTACAATCAATGGACTGCCAGTGTATTAAAAATCCAATTTTGCATAGCTTTTGTGTCCATAAAATGGCTGTAATTCAAATCTACAGAAGACTGAAAACAACATGAAAACAATAAAATGTCATGTTATTTGAGTTACTCTAAGCATTGTTCCCCTCTGTTATGGCCTTTATTTTTGCAAATTGTTCATGCAAAACATGCATGGAGAAGTTAATTTGATTTTTCAATTTCAACTGAGAATTGTATCTACAAGTATTAGGTACCTGTCTTATGAAATTCATATGATCTTATTTTTATATTATCTCAGTTATGACATTTTTCCATAAATGAAATATCAAAATTAATAATAAACTGAATGGAAATACAAATAACACAGTAAAATGTTATAAATGTACATAAAATTATAGTATTTTATGTACACTTCTGATAAAATTTCATAAGTACCTATAAACTAATTAGATACCTTTCTTATGAAATTTTATCTCACTCTTATTTTAATTTTTTTTTAATATATTTTCCATAAAGGATCGTAAATGTAAAGTTGAAAGTGAAGTACAAAAAAAAAATTAGAGTGCTGAAAGTTTTCCTTAAAAATAACGAGATAAATACTTGGTTCACTTAAATCTAAATAATTATGTCACTTCTGTCCTTCTGTACGATAACAATACATGATGAAATTATCACCCATCACCTGTTAAGTGATACCAAATGTTAAGACCTGCTTTGTCTTATTTTTAAGATACATTTTTTGGTGCAGAAAGTAAGTAATGTTTGTTTCAAAATATTTTAAACAAACTTGATAATTTCTAATTTTCTTAAAATAAATTTTGAAAAAAAAAAATCTAATTGATTTTTAAAAGAATATTAAATGGAGGTTTTCATTTTTTTTTATAAAATGGAAAAAAATAGTTGACATGATTGATTTTGTCATTTTGCTGACTCAAACCCCCCAAAAAAACAAGACTTTTAACAAAAATTTTGGACTTGCTAGGAATGATTAAAAAATATGAGAAAAATTACTTTGATTTTATCTCTTAATAATAACAAACCTTTACACAATAAAAAATTATTCTCATCAAGTTTAAAGCCCTCTTTCATCATGCTATGCTCTTTTTTAGAGGTACCTACCATAGAATTGATGCAAGAAAAAAAAAAAACACAATTTTTAAGCAAATTATCAACTGACCTAGAAAGTATTAAAAATTTTAATTAAACAATAAAAAAATATGTTGATCTTTCCTCTTAAAAATAATATACACATCTTATTAATTTGGGGGCTGCTTTTTTCAACATGGTATGCTCTTTTTTCAGTGAATTAGAGGAAGGCATTTTATATTGTTGTTAATGTTAATCTTTAGTTGGATTTTCTGTTCACACTTAAGAGGAAAATAAATAGAAAATTTACAAATAGAGTTGTTAAGCTAAATTTTAGCTTAACAAACCTGTCTGTAAATTTTCTGTTTATTCTCTTCTTTTAGACATTTAGCTGCTGAACAAACATTCAAATTGTTTGAATGAATACATAAAATTAGGTACCTCCACTTTTTCGCAGAAAACAACATAATGTAATGAAAAAGGCCACAAACTTAATAAAAGTAAAGTTTTATCGTCAAAATGTTTATGTTATTATTAAAATGAAAGAACAAAGTATTTTTCGTTATTTTTGGAAATTTTTTAATCTTTTTTAAAACATTCAAAATTTTACTTAAAATCTTGTTTTGTTTATGTCATCACAGTGGCATGAAAATAACAGACTTTTTTTTGTGCTTTTACCATTGAAAACATTGATATGGAAATTCTTGTAAAAATCAAATAAGGACTTATTTACAAATTAATTATTTTTGAATTTTTTTTTTTTTAGAAAAAATTTTGGTAAAAATTTTTTATTTACAAATTTTACCCCTACTTATTTAATTTCATGAAATTTTGGAAAAAAATTTTTCCTGCATTTTTTCATTTGTTAAAAGAAGGAGTCCTTAAAGAATGTAAATCACCTAATTTTTTTTCAAATTTGCTTTATTCTAAGTGAAAATCTGCTCTGAATTGAAAAATAATAAATGCAACATATGACAAAGAACACCATTGGAAAATTTGTAAACTTAAGGAATCAGCACATATGCTAAGCCACAAAAATCTCCTGAGCTGACCAAGCATAGAAATGAATACAATATGGGAACTAGTAATAAGGAGTGCCAGAGAAAAGCAAAAGTTGCAATATGAGCTCTGGTAAAAAAACATGCAATGATAACAGCAAAAAATTGCAATATGAGCACTGGTAAAAATGGTTGCTGAGACATTAGGTTTATAATACCCAGAAATTCATACACAGATGTCCTCAAGGTCACATGGCACAGTGGATAAAAGCATTGACGGGACCCAAAGAGTGTGAGTTCAATACCCAGTTAAGGCAATGGAGAACTTACCGATAACTGACATCCATTAAAAAAAAAAAAAACATGGTATGTGGAACTAGAACATTCCAACCACCTGAAGAAGGCTGGAGTGTACAACGGTCGAAACGTTGTAATATGGCAACAAAGATGAGGGCAATAGTTCGAATAATGTAAATAATGCAATATATGACATTATGACTAATTAGGAAAGCTTTTAATTGCTTTTGTAAATAAGTCATTATTGTTTGAAGATGAATAATGAATTTTTATGAGATTTTTTTCATTTTATTTTTAAATTTTAATTATAATAATTTTTAATAGTTTAAAATTGTGTAAAATTTTGTAATGGGCTATTTCCTGGATGTGATATAGGAATTAAGTGGAAACGAAATTTACAAATCCAAAATTGAAAAGATTAATCAACTTAGTTGAGCTATTCTATTTTTAAAATTATTTTTTTCTTTTTTTCTATTTTTAAAATAACTTTTATTTTGTATTTTTTTACTTAATATGTTCCTTATTTTCATGTATGGTAGACTGAAATTGCCATTATTATGATCTAAAAGTTTTGTCCCTTTATTAGGTCGTTTCAGTTACGTTTGAACAGGTTTTCAAAATTTCCATTCAGCTTTAAAAGTTTAAAATTGAAAGTAAGTTTTACTTTTTTCAATTACCATTTCGCGAAATATTTTTATTTTATGTATTTACATTAGTGTGGGACATGCTTCAATTGAGTAACCATGGTATTTCATTTATTATTAAATTATAAAATTAATTAAAGAAGATTTTATAGCATTTTAAAATTTTTTTATTTTTGCATCTTCAAAAGGTAAATTAAAAGTCAATAAAGTATCATATAATTGCGGAAAATATATTCATTTGTAAAAATTACTAGGTAGTTAAAAACCAAAAATACTGCGTTTACTTAGATTTGTGACAATTATGTCAATTCGGGTCACCCATAGTAGCTGTCATCGCATTGTCACTCAACACTCCCGCAAACGTTAGACAAACGAACAGGACCAATTATTAATAATTGGTTGTACTTGTATATTACCTTTTTTTATGCTGTAAGTAATATTACTTTCAAATCAGATTAGTTTAACTTTAAATTTTCTAATTTTGCTCAAATAAGGTGTTAGAAAATGTATGTATATGTAATTTTTTGAAAGAATTTTAAAATCGATAATTCTTTTTTTTTTTTTTTACAAATTTCTTAAAACTAAGAAAATGGCCGCTTTTAAAAAATTTTTAAGAAATCGAAATTAAATCTGACATCCCAATCTATATAATTTCAATCTGAAATACATCAGAATATTTTACTAAAGGAAATAAATTTAATCATTAAGCTTTCAATTAAAGCTAAAATGAAATCTTCAAGAATGTTCTTTCATTTTTTTAAAAATCATTTTAAATTTTCGGTATCGAAAATTTCTACCGAAATAGTAGAGGTACCTACATAAAATATGGACCAAGTACGATCGAATACGAATCGGGTATTGAAAATACTGAGTTTGTTAATATTTAATTTAATCAATTAAGTAAAATATAGATTGAAACACTTACAAGATGATCCAATGCATCAAATTTGATGGTTTCTCTATTTGAAAACAAAAAAACAAAACAAGTGACAGCTGCTACTTCCGGAATAAATATGTCCGTACATCGATTAGACGTTGTTGTCTTTTTTATTCACTGTTCAATATCGATTACCATCCGACCTTAATACATGACAGGATGGCTTGGGATTAAAATAAATTTAATAATTGCTTCGATGTCTGAAACAGTCTCTTGTTTTTTTTTCTGGTATTGACTTTCGAACCTCACTTTTTGAAATGGTCTTTTTAAGAAAAAGCTATCGCCAACGAAATATTGTAAATTATTAATGTTTTATTGAAAAATTATTAATGTTTTGTTGAAAAATTAAACCCGAATTTCTCAGCTGCAAGGAAAAAACAACTTTTACATTACGGCAGAATTAAAAAAGTAAAGTGACTACGAAGTTTAAAATGAACAATGGCCGTTATTGACAGAAATGTTGAGAAAGAAATAAAAAAAAATTATTGAGAAATAATTGTAAATTTAAGACAATTTCATTGAAAACTATTATTTTAATCCTTACTGAATATAATTACTCCAAAATGAATAAACTAAGTGTATTTAAAATGAATTAAAAAAGGATTTATTTTTATAAAATGTATACCTAGGTATCACAAATGAAAATTTCCAACAGGTACTACTAGGTGTTATATCTGGTTGCATCTTCTTTCTACATGATTAAAGAAACTTAGCAGTTTTTATTTCATCAAAATATCTCAAACCGTTTAATTTTGGCAGATTTATTTTTATTTTTACACGTGTTCGACTTCGCCATTTTGTCTATTATGAATTAGGACAAAATACCATATTTGGACTCCTATATTTTAAAAAGCAATTAAGACCAACAGTCAAAATTATACTAGTTTTTTAGGTACATAACAAAGAAATTAATAATAAAATTACAGATAGTATCACTGCATATTTCTTAAATAAATTCCATCTGAATATGCAAATTTTATAAATCAAAACTTCTGCAAACAACTCATAACCTGAGGTTGACATTTCATAAAACTGGAAATATGACCCACATACATCCCAAATTTCAAATATCACATTATGACTATACCAGTAACATGCCTAATTTTGGGGGGATTGATAGAATGGATATCTTCTGAATTATTCCACTTCAAATTTGAAAAAAATTGCTTTTTAACCTTTTGTCACAAAAGGTATTTGAAAGGCCGATTTTAGACTTGTTTGAATTGTGTCATAAAAATAAAATGAATACTTCTTACACTTAAACACCAAATTTCATATCTAGCCATTTATGGGAGTGCTCTTTCCATGTATCATGGTTAAAATGACATAAAATCAACAGATTAGAATGTATATGGAGCAGATGCTGAACAAGTCCTGACTCAACATGTACAATTTCTGGACTGGAGAGAGAGAGAGAGAAGCTTAACACTTAGTCGTCATCTACAAATTATTGTCTACGTTTTCTTGCTGAATTTGAGTTTATTTGCAGTTCATAAAAAAATTGCACTAAATACAATCAGGGATAAATATAAATTTAGAATCATCCACACACCTGAGTAACAAACAAGGAAGCACTACTTTCTCAACAAACCTATTGCCACAGAGGTCCTTAAAAATGACACAGAATAAAAATAATCATATTCCGTATGAATTTAATTACTAAGAAATAATAATAAATTAGGAAAATGAACATTAAATCATAAATTTGTATCTGGATAGCAATAATTCGTAACTAATATCCTTTCATTAGGATTAGATTTTAAAAAAAGTAAGAAAATTGTTTAAAGGGGGTAACTATACAAAAAAATGTTACTTGGTAGGTAACTGAAATTGCGAGAATACTGCAAAAACATAAAAGACATTCCAGATTTTTTTTCATTTTTTTGTAGAATGTTTTTTTTTTATCTCATTCTTTGAATATGAACATTTTTTGATTAATAAGTCCTAAGTTTTGGGTTTTTTTTGTGATTTGAATCTGAACGTAAGTAAACATAGATTTTTGATTCATGTTTTTTTTTATGACGAAAACGGTTTTTAAATCCCATTTACATTTTACATATCATAGAAAATTACGATTTAAAACAAATTCTTACCGATTTCCTTGAAAATTTCGTCCATAGATAACATGCTAGTCGATTCTAGGGTGTATGTGTTGTCGCTGTGTATTGAATGTCGCGTGGAGTTGAAATTATAGTTGAACGAGTCGCACATGGTTACACATAATCACACATGCGCAAAATGGAGCCATTCTTTCGTATTTGATTTAGTTTCATATATTATTAAATGAGCGTTTTATTGATATATTTTCCGTGTTTTTACTTTTACAAGAAGCATTTGAGTTTTACGCTCAAACTTTTCATTTGAATTGTTTACAAACTTCTTATTAAAATTAAAAAAATAGAAAATATATAAAAATGAAGCTTAGAATGTTAACAGTTAACATTCTAAGCTTCATTTTTAATATATTATCGTTAGTTCGAAAGTTAACAGTTAACTTTCGAACTAACGTATTACCAAAATTGTAAACCCTGCGGAGTGTGCATGTTACAAAATTTGAGGAAGTCTAAATTGCCGTCAGTGACAAAAATGGCTAAAATTTTGCGAAATCATCAAAACATCTCTATTTTCAAACTGTAATGTTCCTCGCACACTGTAGTACATATAAAAATAAATGAGATAGAAACAAAGTTCATGAAATAAGCTTTTATTTGGTATGCATTATGTTTTTATGGACATATTGAATGAAATAATACGGCGAGTTGAATATATGCATTTTTTAGTGTTTAGTTAAAAAATTATTTCATCGGCTGTAAGCTGAGTGTTGGGATACCTAAGCTCACATCAGTCAGTCCGAGTCAATTTGAGTGGGTGAGATGAAACTTGAAACTGACGACAGCGAGATAAATTTGTATGTTGGATAATCCGAAATAAGTCGTAAAAATACATTCTGTTGAGTTCTTATTGAATAAGGGATCTGTACCAGACATATAAAAATACAAGGTTTTTATTTTTATTTTATTCAAACATGATACAGTTATGAGAAACGGAACCGTACGCATTAGCAAGATCCTGCCAGATGACATGAATATTCTTCCTTGCAGTCTTAACCTCGCGGATCTTTGCGCAAATCAATGACACATGCTCCAAGCGCCCCGGAAAACCTGTGACTCCAGCCTTTTGGATACAAATGTCTATGTAGTTATTCTGGAGCAGTTAGTCTGTCAAACACCTTTTCCTCAACGTTCATGGGAGAGATTGGACGAAACTGACTAAGTGTCAACGAATATTCCTCTTTCGGTGTATACGCACCATTAGCTCAACATCAACATTCCAGAACATCACCAACTTCCCAAATTTTCGAAAGAAACCTCCACAGAAATCTCAGCAGCCTGGGACACCTCTTGTAGACAGCATATCTCATACCATTAGGACCACCTGCAGAACACGCTCTCAATTTCCATATAACTCCTTGGACCTCCTTCCAAGTCACTGGGGACTCATCAAAAGCTAATTTAGAGGTGCCAGGCCTGAATAAACCGAGCATCACCTTCACTGGGACCTCCCTTTTAGCATCAGAGTACGTACTCTCCAGCTCCTCCCGCTCAACGCTCCGCTAGTCATCTCCCTAAACAACTGCTTCATGAAGCAGGAAGGACTTACATGCCCTGGAAGTCTTCTGTCTCTTTTTGACAAGCTGTTCTGCTCTACACAACTTGGCAACGTGCTTCCTTATGCCTTCCAGGATTGGTTAGATTTCCTTTGCTCATTAGCACACATTGCTGCTCGTAATTTTCGCATCTCTTTCCTCAGCAACCAGATGGTTATCTGTCGCCAACTTTCCTGCATTAGAGTTAAGGACTTAGCTTTCATTTCCTTCAATCCAAACTTTATTACCCCATAGTCACTGATCATGTCCCCAAGCTGGCAGACTTTCCTTCCTGTATCACCCCTGAGTGTATGGATGGCTGCTGATAAGTCTTCATCCATCTCTGACCAGGCCCTATCCAGAAAGAAAGGCCACTTAATAATTCAGCAACTAGATTCAGCTTCTTAAAAAGGATCCTGCAAGACACTGTGGTGTTCATCCTGGTCCCGACATTCTGACGACTTATCAACTACTGCCTTGCGCTTCTTTGTCACTGAATCGCCGCCACATTTCATCTTGGTCTGGTGTATCTTGCAACCCTTCACCGACTTGAAGACTCTTTTACAGCCATCACATTCTCTCTGGCTCTCACAGTTGTCATTACCTGATTGTCTGTCCATTTTTAAACCACTTTTAATCATAGCAAGTCAAATGGTTTTTACATCAGACACGAAACAGACGACTCTACCTGATCCACAGATTGGCTATTGGTCCGGGTTTGCCAGACATCAGGCAGGTGGAATCTTCAAAAAGTTACCCATCCCACCATCCCTACATGCGCAGGCCAGTCCTCAGTGGGCATAAAGAACTGTTGTAGAACATGTTCATACATGGGCGCTGCTTCTCGCAAAAACTCAAGGTGGGAAACTCACACCCCACAACCCTATCACTGCCATTACCGCACTATCATGGTCATCACCATTCTTTCATGGTTACCACTGGAGAAGCAGAGGTATTAAACATATGTACTCATCGAGTATTCCAAAACAGCTGCAATCTTCAGCTGAGTGCAGTGCTTCAAAAAAAAGTTTCAGCTGATTAACATTGATTAAAATGATTTCATCAATTTATAGTTTCATTTTAAATTACTATCCTAATTTCATTACAAAAATTAAGACAAGTAAGGTTATTTTTTTTTATTTTGATTTGTTTTTATTTTTTTCAGGAGTGGACAGCCAACAAGAAAGAGGTTAAAAAATATCAAAGATAAATTTTGATGCAACATATTGGTAGACCTGTCCCAAAATGGAGTTTGTGAGCCTGGATTAATTTTATGATTATGAACTTCTGGGGTCATCAATGATTGGGACTAAATTAGAGTTGTCTGATTTGCCTTCACACTCACAAAGTGTCAAAAGGGCAGTAAAATTAACAACTGCAGCTTCCCAATCAGTCTATGGAATTGAAGCAAGGCACATCATTACATAAGTTTTATGCTGTGAAATTTTAGTTTAATATGATGTAATAATAAAAATTGCTATTATTCTCACAACATTCATGTTTTTTATTATGTCTTTTATAACTTTATGCCTTACAATTATTATATAAAATTGAAACTTAAAAGCCCATTAATAACCAGTAGATTTTTAGAGGAATGTTCAAATTACAATGGTAGTTTATGTTAAAATCATCATCCCTTAATTTGTTTCTAGCAGAGTTCATACTTGTTTGCTTTTGTTTCATTGATAACAGAAAAAAAATAACTGTTTAACAATATATTGCAATGTTATTACTGACGTATCTCAATTAATGCAGTAAAACGCAGCTGATCTGAGCTGTTCGGGTTGGGGTGGGAGTTTATAATTTCAATTTAATTGCTACTTTTTGATATATTCATTTCATCTGAATAATATAAACTGGCAAACTTTTCTGCAATTTCATATCTAAACTTATCAGAAACAAGGATTTTCAGGTGCTTCATGGTAGACGATCTTTTAAACCAAATGCTCAAGTCACAAATCTACTTTTTGGTGTCAGTCCTTATCATACCAATACCCAACTTTCTCTGGGTGATACTTTTGATATACAAAAAAAAAAGTTGAAAATCAACTTAACATACATATATATATATATATATATATATATATATATATATATATATATATATATATATATATATATACATACACACACACATACATACATACATACATACTATATATGATCACACTACATTTGAAAAGTTTCAGAAAATCCTGGTAATTCTTAAATGGGCCCAAAATCAGTTGTTTTGTACATTAAATAAGAGAAAATAATTATACAAAGTTAAAAAAAAAATGAGGCATTACTTTTTTACTAGAATAAAATTTCTAATATAAAAGTCATCCCTCATTTTTTTTATAACAAAGAGAAAAAAGTATTTTATTATTAAATTCTTGTGAAAATATTTTTTATTACTATAGCACAAATTTTTGCCATTCATTTCAAAACTTTCTCAAAGTCCAAGTTAGTTAACTGATCCCACTTTTTTTTTCTTTGATGGTTCTAAAAGTTTTGTCATTTTTTTCCCTCTTCTGTCAAGTTCATCCCATGTTAATTCTGGGGGGTGGCTTCAAACTTTTGAACAGTAGATATGTAGTGGTTTCCTTTCAAAATGAGTTTAAAAAAAATAAAATAAAAAATCCAACTGCCTTTAATATATGTTAGAAGATAGATTTCTTTAAGACGTTCTGGTAAGATATTTGTTTAGTTCTATCCTCTTGTTTAGTTGTGAACACTCACTGTCCACAATTGGGTAGAAGGAAGTGAGTAAAGAAATATGCTTGGGATCAAGTGTCACTTGTTCAGAAAGTAAAAATTTCAGAGTCCTTGCAAGCAAAAGGAAAGACCTGCTCTATTACCAAACAACAAAGTTATTTTAAGTGTCAATTTACTACCCCCCAACTCAAGACACAAAGGGCATCTGTAAATATGTAATGAAAAGTATCAGGTGTCAACTAATTATCTGTAAGACTGTGAAATGCAGCCATGAACAACCAATATAGTGGGAAAAGGATTTACATTTCTCTTGGCTAACTACACTGGAACTTATCCAAAGTTTTGTGTACACTTAAGATAGGGCGATTGCTTCAGTCAACGAAAGACCGAGAAAGGCTCTAATGTGTGGTTACATTATTTATCCATGTAGAATATAGAATGTCTTATCACAAAGCATTTAATTTAATCAAAAATGAAGATTATTAAAATCAAAAATAATTTTTTTTATTAAATATTCAAACATTACACAAAGTTTAAATTTCATGGAAAAGAAGAGAAACACATTGTTAAAACAGGATCTTGCACAATCAATAGACTGATACCACTTCACCAAACACCAGAAAAATATTTACTGAGATATTAAAAAAAAAAAAAAAAATTGAAATACTGCATAATGATTAAATACACTTTAGCAGAAAGGGAAATAAGCTGCTAACACTGCTTAAAACACATTCCTGAAGCTGAGGAGTAGGTGGTAATTTGTAAGCTAAGGATGGTGAGTTCAATCTTAGGTTAGAGTCAGCATAGTTAATACACACACACTGTAAAAGAAAAACATTTATTTTCAACAGGTTATTTTTTCTTCTTC